ACATGAATTTTATAAGTGCTTTTAATTTTGTCTTAACATCTAACTGAAGGTTGTTACCTCACAACTAACTAAGGGTTGTAACCACATGCTTAACTGAGGGTTGTAACTTGGCACCTAACTGAGGGTTATTAGTTTATATGGTCACTACTTAAAAAAACCAAAACGTCATTTAATAAAATTTATTTTCTAAAGACAAATTTTGATTTAATTTAAAAGGGTCCAGAAAACATCTTTTTTATCTCTTAAATGAACATCTTTTTTAAGTTTTATCTCTTAAATGAACATCTTTTTTAAGTTTTATCTCTTAAATGAACATCTTTTTTAAATTTTATTTCTTAAATGAACATCTTTTTTAAGTTTTATCTCTTAAATGAACATCTTTTTTAAGTTTTACCTCTTAAATGAGGCTAGAACATCTTTTTTAAGTTTTACCTCTTAATATATATATATATATATATATATATATATATATATATATATATATATATATATATATATATATATATATATATATATATATATATATATATATATATATATATATATATATATATATACGTTAGGTCCGTCACGTTACGCAGAATTAATTTTTGAAAAAAGTATAAGACTTCAGTACTATAACTTTTGCATACTAAATTATGTAATAGTATTCAACATTTCTGAGAAGTTTCCAAGTCATTTCCATTTTTGGTTCATTTTTAATAGCTTAAATAACGTCAAATGTTACGACCGCCACTCTCGTGGAATTGCCCATATATATATATATATATATATATATATATATATATATATATATATATATATATATATATATATATATATATATATATATATATATATATATATATATATATATATATATATATATATATATATATATATATATATATATATATATATATCTTTATTTGACTCAAGTTTTGAACATACAATGTTTAATGCCTTATTTTTGTCTTGAATTCGTTTACAAAAAAAACCCTGAAAAACCCCAAAAATACACAGATTTTTAATCGCATTATAAAAACTTTGTTTTTAAAACTATTTAGCCAAAGCGTTTCATCATATATGTGTTGTGACGTGCTAAAAAAATTAAATCTTAAAATAAATCAAAGTTAATCAATGAAATTTAATTTATTTTAAAAACGTTGCGGCGCTTTGAAGTGTTTTTGTGCAACTGTTATTATTATTTTTTTATTGATATTATCATAATCTGGTGAATACAGAGGCGATTTTACGGGGAGTGTTACACTCCCCAAAGAAGATGGTTTTCAAGTTATAGTCGGTTTTTTTACGAATATAGTCGGCTAGTTGGGTATTTGACATAATTCAGTCGGTTAACTTTTCGTTTTGATAACCTTTTTTTTTTAGAAGCCCATCGGTACTTTTTAAGGATTCACCCCCCCCTCCCCAATTTTGTTAATAGAATCGCCTATTGATGAGTGTATATACATATGTATATATATATATTAGTGCTCAAAAGTTTAGCACGCAGCAGAATCAATAAAAATATTTTTCTTTAAAACGTAAAAAACAGAAAAAAAGATTTTTTCTATTGAAATTTTAGTTATTTCAAACACAAATTTTTTTTTTTAGGATATTTAGAAAATATTAAGAAGAAAATAATAAAAAGTAAATTTTTTGGAAGAAGTTAATCATATATAAAATAAGAAAAAAAAGCTGCTCATAAGTTTACTACACTTGGGTTTAAAGTTGTTTTTAGGTCGAACCTTGATAAGAAATGTGACCACCTCTATTTTTTATGCATAATGAACATCTTCTTCTTATAGAATCGAAAAGTTTACGACAATATTCAACTGTCAAGACATTAAACAACTTTTTTAAATTTTCTTTCAGATTTTTAGCTGACGTTACTGGTTCTTTGGTAAAATTAAAAAACACAGTCCAAGCATTTTCAATTGGATTCAGATCAGGTGATCTAACTGGCCACTGAAGTACCTTGATATTGTTTTGCTCACACTATTTTGTTACAGATTTTGTTTTATGGCATGGAGCATTGTCTTGTTGAAACATCCACTCTGGCTCGTTAACAAAAAAAATGTTCTTGGTATGTTGATGCATCTATGTTGGTCCATTCGACCACCTCCACCTTGTAGTATAGGTACAATACAACGACAATTATACTTTTCATTGTGGTGACTACGGACATTTACTTTGTTTTTACGATTTAGGATGGTGTAGTTAGATTCATCACTAAAAACAATTTTTCTTAATTCATAAATACTTATTTCTAAAATTGCTTTGCAAAATTTATTTCGTTTTGAACGGTCTGTTGGTTTTAATAATGGTTTTCTCGTTGCAACATAGCACCACAGTACGGTCTTTTAGCCTTCTATTAACTGTTTTGATATTTGATTTTTAAGTGTCAGTTTTATTTCTTGTGCAATCTGTTTTGCTGAATATTTAGAATTTTTTCTGGCAATTCTTTAAATAAAATTATCATCAGTGATATTTGTCTTTCTTGGTCGCCCACAACGCTTTTTGTCAGCAGTACTACCAGTTTTATTAAACTTAGCAACAGTTCTACTTACACATGATGGTAAAACATACTTTAAAATTCGAGATATTTCAATGTTAGAGTGACCTCCCATAGTAAGGTCAATAATATGCAGTGGGATTTCTTGACTTGCAGTTTTTCTTCCCATGGGAAATTTCAAATTTCTATTATTATAATCTAGAATTAAGCAAAAAAGATGAAAAAAATTAAAACAAACTTTCAAAATACTACAGACTACTTTAAATATAATTTTGTAATATTTCATCAAAAAGTTTAATTTATTATGGTGCAACTTTTACCTCAAGAAATTTTTAAAAACTCTCCTTAAAAGTTTCAAGAAGAGCTAGCGTGCTAAACTTTGAGCAGCTTTTTTGAAAGCTTAAAATACCGCCTAATGTATTTACTTAAAAAAAACAGTATAACAGTACAACAGTACAACAGTAGGTCATTATTATTGTTCTAAGTAAAAAGAACTTGTTTTTTTAATGAATTAGAATCAAAATAAAATAAAAAAGGACAAACTTTTGAACTTTTTATGATTTATTTTAAACAAAATGATTTTGCGCTTTAAACGTTTTTTTATTTATTTATTTATTTTTAACTTCCTTCTCCATTAATGAATTGACGGTTTTTGTAACGGTTTTTATCAACTTTTATTTTCTACTTTTTAAAATTAAAAGTTAATAAAATAACATTTTGCAGTTTTTTGTTTGTTTGTTTGTTTATTTAGAAAGTAAGAAAACATAAAAGAAGGTAATAAAAAATATAGCAAACTAGGTGTATGATAATAGAAAAGGATATCATTGATAAAATACACTTAAAGTAAACAACAATCGTGTTAGAAAAAGTAAACCCAATTATCTTTAAGTCGCCTTATTCTTTCTGTTTATTGTATGTGAACTATTATATTAAATTCAGCTTATTATGTGTGACCATTTAAAATAAACTCATTAGACATGATACTTCTTACTTTTTTTTTTTTCAATTCAATGCAGATTTTTTTGTTTTTTTGTTTTTTTAAAGCTGAGATTAAAAGAACATTTAACCCGCTGCAGTGGGTGGCGTCCAGTGGGTGGCTAGCTTTAGAAGCAACTAGTACGTAGGATGAGTTTCAATAATATATAATCTTTATTCCTTCCGAAAGTGTTTTATTTATACAAGCCCATGAACCTAGTTTGCAAACAATGCAGCTAAAATATTTTAAAAAACTATTCATTAGTTCAACTATTTATTAGTCAATCTCCAAAAGAATTGACTAATAAAGTGAAATAATGAACAGATTAATAATATTTTAGTTTCACCATTTACAAACTGGGTTCTTGGGGCTTGATAAAGTTGAAAAAGCTGTAAAAAAAAAAAGGCTGTATTATCAAAAATTAATCCCGACTTTTTTAACAGCGTTTCCATTTTAACAGTCTTTTCTATACACCAACCTCAATGTTCCAATTTATTTCCTTCAAAGTAATTACAAAACTCCAATAAAAGCCAAACTCCAGCTTCTAATTTTGTAATTTTCTACTAGTACTGACTGAAATACGCACTAAATGTAATAGTTGTGATATATATATATATATATATATATATATATATATATATATATATATATATATATATATATATATATATATATATATATATATATATATATATATATATATATATATATATATATATATAATATTCATGACGTGTTAAAGACGTCATTTTTATTTGCTAAACGTCAGTTGTATTAGCCGGGTAATATGTCACCAAACTGTAATATTTATAAATAACATGCTATATATAGCTAGCAATAATAAAAAAGGTTGCGGTGTAAGTAACTAAAGTGCGTCTGGCTTATTGTTTTAGCGTCTACCTCGACAAAAATATTTTTTTTTTCAGATTTATATTAAAACACTTTTTCACACTTGGATTTTGGTTTTCACAATGGTTTTTGACGCTTGTATTATATAACCAGATCATTATACTTTGCACAACAATGTGAAAAAAACGACGTTCCTTTATTATATTTTGACAATATAATAAAGGAACGTCCAGCCATAATTACTTAAAAATTAGCACTAGGTTGTCAACAGTTTTCATTATAAGATTCCACGCTATGAAACAATTAAGGTCATCTTTGTAACTTAAATATTAAAAAAACAAGAGCGAAAAGTGTCCCGTATACAAAGATTTGTTTAGACTTCTTCTGAATGAGGCAAATAGAATTTCAAAGCTTAGCGAATTCTTTTTGCTACGTTGACACACGTGTGCAGAAATAAACATGGTTCTAATTATACATACAAATAAAATAAATTAGCATAAGATTTTATGCTTCACACTTGATTCAAAAGCTTTTAACTAATAAAAAGCTTTTCAACTACTTGAAATATTTATGCTTTTATACAATGTGGATATTTTTAATAAATAATTATACTTAGATTTTTTACGTAAAAGTTTAATTTAATTTACTTTTGTTTAATATTCTTAATTATTTTATTACAAAAAGAATTTATGCACAAGCTAGTATATTTAATGTAAATTATATCTGATGTATAATACAACTCAATATGTTGAATTTGATGTCAATAGGTGCGTTCAATAGGTACGTTTCTTATAGACTTTTATTTTGAAACTTTGCTTGTCAAATTTTTTTTTCATTTTTGACAAATGAGAAGACGTCATTTAATTTTATGCAAGTTTCCTTACAACAACATAATTTTATTAAATCTTGATTCTGCAAATTTTATCTTGCAATAGATATGCGATAGATAGTCAATATATATTGCGAATGTAATGTTAATGTGAGAAATATTATGTAATTGTACAAAATTTACAAGGAAGAAAATAAAATTTACTAATTAATTTTTATTTTTTTATTTTATATATTATTTTTAAGTTTATTACATTATTTATAATATAAATAACGTGTGTAATTATTATTCTTATGTTTTTCTATTTCCATTTATCAAAACATTATTGTTTTTTTTTAATAAATGTGATATGTTTAGATTTTAAAATATACAAAAGCTTCATGCAACAACTGAAATGATATCTAATTTGACCTTTGCAAAACGTAACATATCGAGCTTAAATTTGTTTGAAGAAATAACGCTTTCAGAGTCGTGTCTTATTGCTGCATTTGCATTAATATTAGTCACTGGAGTGTTCGGAAACGCTTTTGTTATATTTATTTTTGGTAATAAAAAATCTAATCACCGGTCAACGACTGATAGCCTAATCCTCTATTTAGGAATAGTTGACTTTTTAACCTCATTTTTTAACCCACTATTATACATATATTGGACAATAACAAAATACCAACGATGGGATTTTGGAAATTTAGGATGTCAAATTATTCCTTCAATCGGTCCAATAATGACGTCAGTTTCCTCAGGTTTGTTACTTATACTTGCAATCGATCGATATATTGCTATAGTAACGCCATTCTATGGACAGTTGACACCGAAAACAGTAACAATAGCTTTTATTCTAGACATTTTTTTATCGATTTTGAGTTTTCTTCATTATATACTTGCACTAAGGATTCATCCAACATATAATTATTGTTATATCCCAAATATGGCTGATTATAAATACGGTTTACCAAACTGTTCGTTTATCATTTTACGTCTAAGTATATTTTCAATTGTCTTTGGTTTTACTAACATAAAAATATTTAGAACATTAAAAAAATGTAGCGTAAATATTAAAAGCAAAGAAGTTCGAGTGGAACGCCTTAAACAGTCAAAAAAAATAACGGTTGTGTTGCTAACAATGGGATTAGTATTCATATTGCTTGTTTTCCCTAGAGAGTTGTTTTACTTGGTTATTCATATAACGCTTATAGACGGCAAAAAAAACGCCGCTAAATTTAGTAACACGCTTATGGTAATAAACTCATGGTTAAAGGTTGCTCACACAGCAAATAGTTGCGCTAATGTATTTATATATTCACATATGCAGACTAAATACAGAAAACAAATTATACGGATTTTAGCATCATTTGGATGTTGTAAAAAAACATTTTCTCGTCAAAGTATTTCTGTCTCAATTCTTTCGTACATTAGAGATAGAGGAAGATTTTCATCCCGCAATTATCGACAGGAGTTTAAAAAAATACTTTTGACACAAGAGGAAGATTCAATAAGTTCAGCTGACGCTGTATTTTTTCAGAGAGCACAACAATGGAAAGTTAAAGTTTAATCCTATCCAGAATTATTTGCGAAAAACTGAAAAAACAGCTACGATTAAAAGTATGAAAAAAAAATTGCGCTGTTGCCATTGCCAACAGCGCAACAAAATCTCATTTTCTTTCTTTAAAGTAAAAATAGAAATAATTGAGTAGCTTATCTTAGTTTAACACAAATTATAAGTTTATCTCTATTTAAAGATTTAACATCAACTACTTCAAGAACGCAAAAGATATTCTTTAAAAATAAACATACCAAGGTTACAAAATATAGTTTCAAATAATGTGGTTTAAACAGCGTCGTTGTTGCCACAAAACTCAGTGGCAACAGTCACCGATAAATTATGAATGTTTTTTTTTTTAATGGAAACTTTTTTTATAAAGCGTAAACTATATTTTATTGTGAACTTTATCAAATAGTTTGAATTTTAAACTATAAAAACAACATTTTGATTTCTTTACTGTTTCTCTTATTTAAACAAAAATCGTAGACATTGGCTTTAATGGTAGTATTTACTTAGTTACTTAGAGTTACTTAGTTACGGTTTTAGTTTGAAACCCTACACCTAGTTGAGGTTGTTATTGTTGTTGTTGCTGGGTTGTAAATGGGTGAAAAGCGGTTTAGTTAAACAGATTGATTAAATTTGTTTTAGAAAAACAAATTTAATCATACTAAAGCTTTCTTTGTATAATCTTTAGTAAGCGTTTAGCGTTTTCTTGATTAAATTTTAAAAAGTCCCAAATTTGCCGACCTTATTGAGAGTGTGTGTTGGAAAGGAGGGGTAAGGGAGGAGGTGAGAGGTTGGTTGTGGATGGTGGGGGAGAGGGTTGACACCCCCAAACTCTCTTTTCGCGCCGGATTTGAATGTGTTCATCTTTGTTATAAACCAACTTCATGTAAGTTTTTGTTGCATGTATAAAGAGTTCAATTATGGTGTTTATTGCATTTATCCAGACCTTTCAATAAATATTGTTAACAATTGTTCAAAAAAACTTAGCTGTTTTAGTTCTTGATATTAATAGAAGATACTATTATTGATTAGATAAATTAAATTTTAGAAGATCATTAATATAAATAAGAAATAGAAATAAAAAATAAAAATAAGAAATAAAAACAAGAAATAGAAAAGGAACCGAAGAGATTATGTATTTTCTTTGTAATAGATTAGAATATTTATTATCTAAATAAAACATGATCTCTAACTCTGGTAACTTTTGAACCCAGTTAAACATTTTTTATCTATAACTTTACATTTTTTTAAAAATTTTTATTTTTAACAGTGTTAAATGCTTTAGATAAGTTTTTAATACTTTTAGTACAAACCTTTTTTATCTAAAAAATCATATCGTTTGCTAAATCTAAAATATCATTTTCAATTAATTTTTGTTTTTGTTTAAGAAATATTTTATTAAGTTTTTTAACCGATTAACGAGTATTTTGTTAAGCTTATTAGTTCTTTTAATTCATTTAACTTTAGCTTAAAGGTAGGGGTATAAGAAATTATTTAAATATTAAAAAGTTGAATATTTTTTATTGTAAAATTTCACCGTCTAATATATTTACTTTTCTGCAACAAATGTTGAAATTAATAATAAATGTTTTAAGGTTCATACTTATATCTTAAAATGCTCTTAGAAAGCAACAGTGTCTAAAGATGCTTTCCTAGTTACAACAAACTAAAGTTTATTTCTTATCTTTTTTTTACACAATGCGCTTTATTTTGACTCTTTAAATATTCACAAGCGTGAATCTGCTACGTTTTGATTGGTCTATAACTGTTCATAAACTGAAGTCACAAGCATAACTCGGTCAGATGAATTTAATCATAAGTTGTTACAGAGTTGCTGTACATTATATACTTTATATTCGCATTACTTAATTCGGCAGAGAAGATGAAAAAAAGTTGAGGAAAAATCATATCAAGTGACTTCTTCACGATTTTGTCGCCGTACATTAATTAGGTGATCTAATTAACAGTACGTATTTCACCTAACATTGTCTGCAATCCTGTCCGCTTTCTCAATGCAATTTTTCTAACACGACTTCTTCTATCTTTTACTCTAATATATCTTTGCTCTTCCCAAACTCACCTTACTCTCAGTCCGTAGAGCGAGTTATGATGTTCCTTTAGGAGCTGAACTTGTCTTTGCAGACCTTGGTAATGTGGTCATTAAAATGAATGGGTTATTATTATTAGATAAATATTTAATAAAAAGTGCAAATTTGAATTAGCATGTATTGAAAAAAAAAAGACTATTATCACAAAAACTGATAAATATTTAATAAAAAGTGATAGATAAATATTTAATAGATAAATATTTAATAAAAAGTGCAAATTTGAATTAGCATGTATTGAAAAAAAAAAGACTATTATCACAAAAACTGAAATAACTCTTTGGGTAAAATGATTTATGCAAATCCTATTGGTCATTCGAAATATAATATTATGTTATACATATGTCCAAATGGTTTTTTTTTTTGTTTGCTTTCTTTATTTATCGTCCTTAAAAAACTTCGCCATTGTGGATTTTCGGTTTTCAAAATTAAAATGTTTTTTTTTTTTTTTATAAAAGCGGTTTCATTTAATGTATTTAACAATTTAATTAACTAAAAAGAGTTAAAACAAAGAATTTGAGAAGAAAGCTATACATCGTTACCACCTTAACAAGATGATACTTTGGGTTATATTTATTAATATAATATAAGCAAAGAAGCTTAAAAATTGAAAAAAAACTTATTTGCTGAAAAACAAAAAAGTTTTGAGAATATAGCTATGCTGTTTTTTCCCCTGTGCTCTTCATTTTTAAAAAGCCTTACTTTATTTTATTAACAATATTAATATTATTTATCTATAATAAGTACACTTAATTAACTAAAATAATATAGACATGCTAATAAACGAATGAAATGGTTAATTTAAATAAGCAACCGCTTGGTTTAACATAGTCATGGGTGAAGATTATGAACCAAAGAAATTTACCACAACCTAATGAGTATTTCTAACCTAATGAGTATTTCTAACCTAATGAGTATTTCTAACCTAATGAGTATTTCATCTATTACGAACAACGCATACAATATAATTAAGAAAAACTACAGACGTCTACAAAACTGTAGGTTAAAGAGTTACTAACAAACATGCATTTTTTTTGATTTTATATTTTAAAATGGAGGGTAATTAAGTAAATAAACATTGTACACAAAGTTTAACTACTTCTTTTTTAAAATATAAAATCAAAATTAAGATACATAAGATGGTATTGACATTTTTACCACATGTGATGAAAATGTCAATTTGTATGATAATGACACAATCACTAAATATTTTAACCCAAAAACGTAAACAAATACTATTTTTTAAATTACTATCTAACATCTGATTTCAAGCTTTAACTTCATCAAAATAAAACCAGATTTCTAGTTCTAAATTCGAATAAAATTCAGTTCTAAATAATAGCATTTAAAGTAAAAACAAAAATTTTGAAAATAATAAACTTTTAATGCGTTAATTAAATCACGACTTCAAAATAACTTGTATTGCTAAGACCTGGTGTAAATATGACGAACATAATTTACAATTTGAATTAACAAATTACGTATCATTTTATCAACGACGAAGCTTCCGTACTGGTGAAGGTGTTTATATCAATGACTTTACTAATTTTATACCACAAAATGACCTCAGTGTAAATGAAAAAGATTGTGAGTTATTGTGGATATTGATAGAACTGATAATATAAACTCATGTATATATTATTATTAATAAAGTTAATACATAATATTTATAGAATGTCAGCGGGTTACTTAAAAAGTTTAAAAACTTGCTTACGTACTTTTTTAACTAAAGTTAATAAAATAAAAACGCAAAATAACTTTGTCGGTGACCTGAATTATAATCTTTTGAGCCTCAAGTAATAGTGTTAAGTGTATAGTAAATACTTTTTTATAAAACAATCTCGTTCCTACAATATCCAAACCAACAAGCACCATAACAAACATAACATAAAAAATTCTTCAAACTACTACGTAGCAAAATTACATTTTTTTTTAAACTGGATTAGTACATTGTAATTAATATTGATTTGAAAGATCATTTTCCAACATTTCTTAATACGTAACACTTAGAAATATTTACTCCATATGTACTTTATATATACTCAATGAAACTTCTTACAAAAACTTTGCAGCCTTTTAAACAACAGGGATAATTAGAAATTTATCTTCAGTCACGTGATGCTAACAATTGTTATTACCTTTTTCTAGTTCAATTTTGTATCCAATACAATATAGCTTTTAAATCTATAGTCACTGGATAATAAAACAAACAAAAACTTAATGAAAATTTTCTAAAAAAAATAAAAAATATTCAAATGAAACTAAATAATTAAAAACAAAAATATTCATATTCGATAAAATCAAACAGTAAAGGAGAATGGGGAAAGGTGGGACAGTAAAAAATATTTCCAGAATAATTTTTTTTTTTATAATAAGTATTATTGTAATTTGCACCAAAAAAGTCTTAAAAGTTAAAGCATCATTCCGGCACTGATTCCATTCCCAAAAATTGACAGCAGGTTATAATAAAGTATATATATATTTTTAATTTTAGAGGATCGGTATCTTTGAGGTAAAATGGGAAAGGTTTGGGGCGAAGCGATATAGGAGAAATGTGAAATCAATTAATTTTTTTTTCCCCACATCTCCCCTCAAAAAATCGTTTTATTGAGGTTACCTTTCAAAAATGCGGTTTTTACTATAAATAGAGGGGAAAAAACCTCATTGCTAACATTTGAGTTTGGGATGCAGTTTATTTCTTTATAAATGGTCAAAGCAAATATAAACAATAACTCACAATCTTTTTCATTTACACTGAGGTCATTTTGTGGTATAAAATTAATAAAGTCATTGATATAAAAACCTTCACCAGTACGGAAGCTTCGTCGTTGATAAAATGATACGTAATTTGTTAATTCAAATTGTAAATTATGTTCGTCATATTTTTAACATTAAACAAAATTAATTAGGGATCAATCCTAATTGAAATTTTTTGGATGTCCCATTTCTCCCGCGTTCCACTTTTCACCACTCTTCACTTCTCAAAAAAACTAACTTATTCATAAGTTCCAATAAAAATACGCGAAAAAGTTTGGGATGCAGTTTATTTCTTTATAAATGGTCAAAGCAAATATAAAAATAGTATTCTTCCAAAAAAGCTTTTAAATGATAGTGAATTAATGATAAAATGTTAATACCTGAAAAAAAAAATTTAAATTATGTAAGCTCTATATAGTTAATTAATTTTAATTAATTTAGCACGAAACGTTCTCAAAGTCTCAAAAATCAAAATCTAATTTAAATTGAGTTGCCGACTAAATTATTAAGCCTAAAAAGAAATATGCAGAATCGAATAAATTTAACTTTAATATATCAAAA